GTAATGGTGCGTTCAAGTCATGTCGGATAGATCGTATTTACGAGTTGAACGCACATGAACGCCACCACAAAGTTGTTATTACGAGTGGGAAACTCAACATTTTCTTTAAGCCCCGCGTTTCTGAGTTGGGGGCGTGTCAATGAGAATCCATGGATGCAACGTCTGTAGTTGACGGTCAGTTTTTGTTTAAATTGATAGTTTAGTTGTCCTATAAACTTAAATTGGTCATGTTCTTGTTACGCAGCTAGTTAATGAAATCCAAGTAAAAAAAAATATTCTCACCGTTGTCTCTATACAAGCGGCCATCTTGCCAACTACATCTCGTTTTGGTATCTCGTGTGGTTCTGTGTGATTTGGAAAACTTCAAGTTACGCCCCTTCTTCCAGTTACGCCCTCCTCTTGCAGTCCGCAGACAGACACTCTTGGGTGTGTGACTGAGTGGAGGCGGGGCTAATTTGCGTATTCATAGATCCGCGTATAGTAAATGAGGCAAGGGTGTAGAGTTACATTCACAGACCCTGTTGTATTTTCTTGTAATTTATTAAAAGAAGGTACACCGCCATCTTGTGCCGACTAAACTGACTTGAACGCACCTGACGTCGTAATTACGACTTGTCAACTCGTAAGTACGAACGTCCCAGGAGGACTTGAACGCAGCATTAGCCTATGGGCGAGACTTCTGGTTCATTAGCCGCTGTAGGTAAATAACGAGAAGAATAACAACATGCAGTAAACAGTAAAACTGTTTGCACTACAAACCAGTGTGTTCATAATTAAGATAATACATTCAAATAATATGGTAAGACACACCAATTTTCAATATCAAGCAGCAAAATGAACTGTTTTGTACAGCTAAAAATAGCTGGACACGGATGAGACCGGAAGCTAGACCCATAGAATTTACATATGGCCCAATTTTACATAAGAAAAAGGTCTGATAGTACGCGCGTGACGTCACAATTTTCAAAAAATTCATTTTCGTAGTTTACACATAAAAAATAATGCTATCGTTTAAAAAAAAAAACGTGCATTTCGAAACCCCCATTCTCAAAAGTTGCCATTTTCAGACCCGCAAAGCACAGCTGACACGTAATTAAACAGCCAAAACGCATAAAGTTTTCTGTTAAAAATGGTGTTGTGCAAACGAACACAGAGATAGCACTTTGTCGTGTTGTGTTTTAAGCATCTTCCCTCTCGTTAGAGACAGAATGGACCCGTTTCACAAGACTGTGATGACGCGTTTCAACGGTCATCAGCATCGTAAATCCTCGAAACTTTTTTATAGGCTATTTTCATTTTATTTTTAAATGTATGCACATTTATAACACTATACTTTGTATTATATCACCTTTGCATAAAAATTACAAAAAAACTCGTTAACACTAATGCGAGGGTGTTTCTAATGCAGCGAGAGTAAATTTAACGGTAATTTAACGGTAAATTTAACATCGTTCTCTCTTCTGACCGCCGTCTCTCTAAATTTATTTCCTTTTTTAAAAAATCATGAAAACACTATCTGTTTTTTTTTTTTTTTTGCTATTTGAGCAAATGGGAATGCAAAAATTTAAAATATAGGCTATTCGTGGTACTCTCCCATTCACAGCTCTCGACGTTTACCCAACTATGACGACTTCCGCTGCTGAGAAACCCGGAAATGTGAAACAGGTCGATACTAAAAAGTATAATGAACCAATTAAATACATTTTGAAAAGAAATAAAAAAACTATAAATGTTACAAATGTAATCAGATTTCAAATGATTCAATAATTCAGGTTACCTCATTCAGCTGGTCTTGTGATCTCAATGTCTCAAACAGCTTTTATATAATAGGAATACAGCCTGTACACGATTTATACCTAATTTAAAAAAATACTGTCAATTTATTTATATCTAAACCTATTCTAAGAAACTTAAGTGCTGAAAATACCCACATCACCATTTAAGTTGCTTTACATTTTCGCTAACTTTAACCACACTGCTTTCTCTAAAATCAGCCACTGACATTTTTGGCTTTTGTGTTGATACAGATATGTTTGATTTGTCTCGACAACTATTTAAGAGTGTTTTCAAGTGAGTTAGAACACTGTATGCGTGTTTCCCCAACAACAGAAGATATAGCGCATGGACGCGGCTAAACATAAACTAAAATGGCGTTTGTAAACATGTGGAGCAGCGCAGGAGAGAGCAGTCCTCTGCGCATGCGCAGTGCGACACCGTGCGGTCCCCAGCGCTTTAGGCTGTGTGGTGCGTTTGTTGTGTCTGCTGGTAAGTAGGTCATTATTAATTATCATAGTAATACGTTGTTTTCAATGTTAAGTCACAGCTCAAACTATCGATATTATATAACGGAAGTGTTTGGCGTGTGTAAAAGTTGCGCTGGGCGTCATTAAAAGTAATGTTTTCCACATTTCCCTTTACTGGGCGCTAAATGTGTATAATACAGTGCATTGAGGGAGGTTCGTGTGCAACCCCACTGCTGCATTTCTCCTCTGCAGTCACGCGCTGTTGCATTAGCATCCGTTCAGTCATTCGTGTTTTAATTGCTCATGCAACAATCACACTGCAGCTTGTCTGGATGAAATGGCTTTGTGCAAAAACACAATCACATCGAGAAGCTTTCGACGAGGCCTTCTGTCTGTTTCTTATTTACGCTTCCTGTTTCTATGATTGCTGGTCGTTTCAGCTTTGAGATATTGCTCGTGTTTATTATTGAACCCTGCTGTGTTTATGCACTAATACACCTGCGTGGGTCTTCGTTTTAGGGAGCTGAATGTATGCATGCATGTGTTATTGGGTCGAAACAATAGAAACATTGTTGGCACTTCCTAGTGGTGCTATCAGTGATTAAGACTGATCATGCACTAGCTTCATGCCATGCTAGTGCTTTTACAATGCCACCTTAAGTGTGCTAGTTTCCCCCAGTAATACTGGAAAGGGAGAAAAAATATTCATATCAATTAATATGTTATTATTAATGAGCAGGTTATTTTTGTTAGACTGTTTAATTCATATAAATAATGTTTACTTAATATATTTAAAAAAAAACATTTATTTTTGTATTTTGACATTGCACCAACATGCTTTTCTACGGTGGCCGAGAAGTGCAAAGCAAATCACAATTCTGAAAACAAAATAACAAATTACAAACGCAAATGCAAGTCTAAAAAACAAAATAACAATTCAGAAAGCACAACAACAATTCAGAAAACATTATAACAAGTCAGAAAACACAATGACAAATTCGAAAACAAAATAACAAGTCAAAAACACAACGACAAATCCGAAAACAAATTAACAAGTCAGAAAACACAACAACAAATCAGACAAACCGTA